CAACATCATCTTTAACCCCACTACCCAGAGACAGCTACAGTTCATATGTTTGTATAGCCTTGTCTCTAAACCTGTATGTGCACACACATACACACAGACACACACACACAATTAGGCTATTAACATACTGTTTGGTAGTCTGCTTTTCCCTTAACAATGAATCCTGGCCATTTTTATAAATCATCTTTTTTTCCTATAATATCAATTTCAATGGCTGCATAGGATTTCATTATATAAATTTGCTAAAATTGATTTAACCAATTCCCTATTAAAATATAAAAATATATTATGACGGGGCTTTTCGGACAGTGAAACTACTTTATGTGATACTATAATGGTAGATACATGTCATTATATATTTGTCAAAACCCCTAGAATGTGTAATACCAAGAGTGAATTCTAATGTAAGCTATGGACGTCAGGCGATAATGATGTGTCAATGTAAGTCCTTCAGTTGTACAAATGTACCACTCTGGTGTGAAATGTTGATAGTGGGGAGGCTGTGAAGAGGGGGGACATATGGGAAATCTCTGTACCTTCTGCTCAATTTTTCTGTGAACCTGAAACTGCTTTAAAAAAATAAAGTCAAATATATTTTGATGAGTACCTTCCTATATAAAATTGTTTGCACATTTCTATTTCCTTAAGATAAATTCTAGTAAGTGGCATTGTCTAGTCAAAGGGTATGCTCATTTAACAACTTGTTTGTGTTACCAAATTGCCCTCCAGAAAGTTTTTAATAACTTACACTCCTACTAAGAGAGTACACTTGAGTTGATTTTTGATCCCTGACTCAACACTGCCCATATTGTGTTTCACTCCACAACTCCATTTACCCCATCATCAAAATAGTGCTGTAAAAACATTATTGGATGTTTCTGTCAACAACATTCCTGTTTTCTTAACCACAATACAGTACCAAGTCATTCTGTCTTTTGATTACAGCTAGCTGCATCTCTGAGAAAATGTATGCCATGCTAATTTGTCTTTATTTAAAATTTCAAAGAAATTCCCACATGGATCCCAGATGTTGACCATTTAATACAAGAAGGTGTTTCCTCATTATACAAATATGGTATGTGTCCAAAATATTGGCATTGTTTAGTTTATGAATCACTTAAAATAACATCACAAAAAACAATGGTTCACGTGTGAGTCATAAATTAAACAATGCCAATTTTTTGATGTGCACCACATTTGTATAATAAGGAAGGAAACACCTCAGATTAAATGGTCAACATATGGAATCCATGCAAGGGCTTTAAAAAATTAGGGCTGCATTTTCTTAAATTGTAGTGTAGAAAGAAATCCAAAATGGAGGCAACTTTCGCAAAAATTTTCCTGCCCCAAATACTCTTGTAAGTAGTGTATCGCTTAATTGGTACAAAACCTTAAGTCAAAGCAATATAAGTCAAATTCCATTACAGGGAATGCCAAGGGAGTATAAGTCTTTTTGTTTTTCTAGATCTTTTTCTGTAATATTGTAGAATACAGTCGTGGTGGGTTGAACAGTGGTTCGCAAAAAGGTATGTCTATGTCCTAACTCCTGGAACCTGTGAATGTGACCTTATTTGAAAAGGGGTCTTTACAGATGCAATGAAGTTAAGGATCTTAAGATATGATTATCCTGGACCTGGAGTCAGCTCTAAAACCAATTAGAGGGGTCATTATAAGAGAAAGGCAGAGAAAAATTTGTGACACAGACACAGGAGAGAAGACCACATGAGCCAGAGGTAGAGGTTGGAGTCACACAGCCCAACCTAAAGACCTCCCTAGAGCCACTGGAAGCTGGAAAGGGCAGCTTCCTAAAATCTTCTGAGGGACCATGGCCCTGCCAGCATCTTGATTATGGATTTTTGGCCTCCACAACTGTGAGAGAATAGATTTCTGTTGTCTTAAGCCATACGGTTTGTGGTAGTCTATTATGGCTGCTCTAGGAAACTACAATGGAAATTCATCATAATAGAATTAACTATACATTATGACTTAATTATATCACTTTATTTTATTCAAATTGATGTACCTGATTTTTTTTAATTTTGGTTAACATCAAACACTTGATGATTCTGCTTTGGGTTTAAATAACACTGAAGGCTACCTTTTAACTTCAGAATGTTCTGATCCCAAAAGGTTTTCCTCATAATTTCTGTTACTCATGCAACTTTGAGAGAATGTCCATAGAGTTGTGGGAACTGGGGAATTCTGGACTAACTAGGGAGAACAGCCTTATCATCTCAGCCTTCAAAATGGTGACAGATGCCGGACACCCAATAGTTTGCTTGACTTCTACCCACATCGTGGGCGATAAAACATAGCTAAAATGAGGTATCAGTGTGACTGTAAAGCACAATTAAAAATTCTGCCCTATATTAGTATGTTTGCTGCTGGCAAGGTATTGAAATCCAAGTGTGTATACTCCCTTGGATCTTGACTGGATGGATATGTTTTGATAAACTTCATGGTGGCTTTTTGGAAGAAGTTCTCCATTTGGTACAGGAGCTCCATGATTATTCTTTCCATGACCTGCCATCCCCCAGCCCCATTCCCTGGTCCACCTCAAGAAGTGAAAGAGTTAGCAATGGAAAATTATATAGCCATCATAAATAGTTTCAGCATTTATTTAATGGCATGGGGAAATGTACTCTGTAAAAAGTTGAGTTAAAAAAAGCAGGATAAACTGGATACATACTGTGATCCAAATTTGTTTAGTCATACACACCTTTATATATACATACATTCAAAGTGAAAATTTTTCACAAAAGAGCTAAGTTGGCTGTCTCCAAATAATGGAATTACACACGTATTTTTGTTAGCTATATTTTCAAATGTGTTTCTTCATAATGAGCGTGTATAACTTTTACAACCAAAAATAACAATGTAACAGAACCAAAATAATAGCTGGAAGATAAGAACCATCTTTGTGGGGCTAGTCCAACATTCTTAAGGTAGTTGCTTATTTCAGAGATGGTTGATAAAGGATATAAATTAATTCTGCAAAACTTCCTTATATATTCGAGAATACTTATCCTGATTTCCCACCTCACTTGTGTTATTTGCTTTTCCTTCACTGTTCCCACCCACCATGGGTACAGGTTGATCTGAGGCTGAGAAAGTAGAAAGACCAAAGTAGAGGGTCGGATGCACTATGAACAAAAGAATAATGAATTCTTCCCTCGGGCTCTGACTCCTCTTGGGACCAACGTGGCCTGACTGGAGGAGAGAGAGAAAACCAACGATGCCAGGTAGCTTGTATTTTTCTGAATAGTGGAGCACTTAATCAACTTCGTATCACTCCCCCCAACCTCACATGGAGAGATGGGGGTTTTGGAGGATGTTAGAAGATTATTTTTTGCTTCAAATTTACTGGGTCCGGTTACCGACAGCATAGAATATATCAAAAGTTGTTTGGCAAAAAGACTAATTCTAAGTTTCTTGAGGGCAAGGACCACGTTCTCCCTCACATTTGTTTACACAGAGCCTAGGACAGTGCCTCACACTGAGTACCCAATAAGTGTTGAAATCCAGAAAGAAAAAGTACTTTTGTAGATTTCAGATGACTGCAGAGGCAGGGTCTAACAGGCTTATCAACACAGTGGAATGAGCCTTCTGTACTAAAGGCCAGCAGAGCTTGAAGAAATCACTGGGCATCAGGGGGTAGGTCACGGAACACGTTGGCGAGTGTGTAGCTTTAAAAAAAAATGCATCAGAATGCAGAATGAAAGGGGCCAGAAAGGACATGGGTGGCTTGAATGAGCAAATTTAATTATGACTTTATATTTGAAAAGAGAAAAACATGTGTAATGATTCTCAGAGGGTGGAGTGGGAGGTGTGGCTGAAGAGAATGTATGAAGTATATGCACAAATCTGAGCACATACCCAAAACTGGTTGGAAGGTATGGCAGGTTCATATGTATGGATTTTTAAAGTCTGAGAACCACTGGACTAAGCAACTGGGTTCCCCATTCAACCCACGGCATCACTAAGAAAATAGAACTGCCTTTTCAACATCAATGATCATGGCTTTCACTGTCTCCTGACCCAGTGATCAGGCCTACCCTGCTATATACTTCCAACCCTTTATATTTAGCTTTATAAAATATTTATCTTTGTAAAAGCTAGAGGATGGCACTAACCATTTTTTCTTCTCATCTGCCTAAAAATCCACATGACAATGTCTTCTAAAAATTTTAAAAATACCTTCGCCTCCAGGCTTCTCTGGTTCCGGTGCTTACTAGAGCTCAATTTGCCTGGAAAGCAGACAACAAATACACTAATATGTGACTACATGGAGAAAAGGAATCTGCATCTAGAGAACAGAGGAAAATACATGTGTATGTATTTTAGGTGAAGGGAGGTAGAGAGAGAGTTGGCAGAGTACAAATTAAGAGAGAAGGGAGACCCTTGTCAATTAGAATATCAAGCTCAGCAGTTCCCTCAAGTAATTCAAGCAAAGAAGGCAAAGGGAAGGCACAACAGGCTTATGTATGTGCACCAAGTGTATGCATTTGTGTGTGTTTCCTATGTATCCCTAATATATTCATCTAAAGTATACTTTTCCTAAGCCTTAAGGCATTCCAAAGTAGAAACCAATTAAAATATTTATTTGTATATATTTGACTATCAGGCCAACCTTACAGAGAGAAAAGCCTCTGCTGAGTCTCAGAGCTTGGTGTGAAAGTCTGGGGTTAGATCATTTAAGCACCAATTAGCCCACATCTAAAACCTGGCTTATCAGGTGGCCATGAAGCAGGTTGCTCTTGTTTGATCTTCAGGTTATTCTCAAGAAACATTAACCATAGATAAGCACTTCAAAATTTTTGGCAGTGAGTGATAAAAAAAATAGTTTCATTTCACTTAAACACTCCTATGGGACTATTTTCTATAGAGGCTTCATAGTTGAAGGATTTTGCAATTCTTTACTTTCCCTAAACTTCAAAGTTAATAGAGAAGAGAACACTAGAAAGAAAACCATTCCCCAAGTAAGAGATCATAAAGTACAATATGCTTCTGAATTTCTTTAATAAATCTTACCGCAATCCCCAAAACGTATGTCTTACAATGCATCCCATAGCTGGTGAATACATTCTACAGCGGTATGCACCCCCATATGGTTGGTATGATTTCAAGATTTGAAACTTGATGGCCAGGGTCCAAATCCCATTTATTAACCTCATGACCTTGGGCCACCACCCTGACAAGGGCCTTTCGCCCTCGTCTGGGTAACAGAACCCTGACAGTAACAGTGCCTACCTCCTAGGGCTACTGTCATGAGGACTGCCATGATTTAACTCACCCTAAAGGCTTAGCACAGTCTCTCGTGCATAGAAAAGACCCAATAAATGTAGGTGAGGTTAACATTCTACCAAGAAAAAAAAACCCAATACTATAAATCATTTTAAGACAGGTTTTAAATTTTAAATTGTTGTCAGCAGATCCCTGCTCCTCTTTCCCACAGACACTGAGACAAGCTTTTTCCGAGAGGACTTTTAAGTAAAACATCTCGTGATCAAGACACAGGCTAGCATACCCCAATTCAAATCATGTTCAGACAAAATCATTACCTGATGCTGACTAAAACTGTTGTCTTCTGAGATATTACCTTCTTTAAACGCTAAAGCCTCAAAGTCTATAACTAGGAATGTAAGCAAATTAGAAGCCACTCTCTTTACGCAGCTGTCTAACAAAATTCCACACCATGAACTTCTAATAATGTTTCTTGTCCACAGATTAATAATAACCTAGTTCAAAACCACATTATTTCCTTTTTCTGCCTCATTTCCTTCAAAGTGAAACATAATTTTTTCTTGGACCTGGAATAAAAATTTCTAGATTAAGCAAATCGTTACCAGAAATGCAATTTTATATCACTACTATTTCAGGAACAACAAAACACACAAAACATCTGTGTGGTGCTTGTTAATACATAAAAATAACCCAATATATATAGTGTATACCACCTAAGTGGAAAATTGAGTCTATAACTAGAAGTGCAAACAGAAATCCACTACCAGTTCCAACAGTATTGTGTTTTGAAGTCCAGTTGGGAACATTTTAGGAACTGTGACACTTCTTTAAGTCTTGGCCGGAGGTCACAAACTGCTTGGCAGAGATGTTTCATTTGCCCAACACAATACTTTTAAAATTATTAAACTCAAATATTTTTAGGTGGGCCACGCCCGTTATTTACTGACAGGCCCTTAAAGGCATTTCATTTTGCAAACCTTGATTAAGGCCCATCCTTACAGAGAAGAGATCAAAAGATAATCATTAGTTAAACGGGTACCTCCCTCAATGATGTCCTGATGAAGTCCAGACACTTGGAAAATTAAGGGTCCTAATAGTTTCATTCAGAAATTCTTCTAGTTTTCTTGTTGGATTACTTTTAAATAAGGACTTTCAGGGTATGTATCTAACAGTGGCTCATTCGATTAGGGTAGCTGAGCTGAGTTGTTAAGTTCATTTATAGCTGGAGACTGAAAGAAATCAGAAAATAGGAACTTTTAAAAAACACGTTGGACCAAAATCCAAATTTTACATTATTTTCAGAAAATTAATAACATTCGGTCAATAGTTGGTTTTTCCTAATATAAAAGGAAATGAATTTGCTTGGTGCAATATTTAAAGAGGAACTAATTCCTACTAATGTATTTCAATGAGTATTTATATATATATATACACACACGTAGAGACACACACATATATACACACATACTCAGAGCAGGGACTGAGCCAACTATAACTCTCATTCTTTTCAGTTCCTTCGTACTTTCTGGGAGATTCTACTCCACTTACAAATTAAGCCTGAGTCTGGGAGCCAAACAAGAGAGCAATTGAGAGGGTTTCCTAAAGCATTAGTTCATGCATCACTCCAAAGGTATTACTTTTTAGGCACTGATGAGGCACAAGCTAGCTGGTTTTAGAGTCCAAATGTTATTAGTTAAGCATCTTTTTAAATTAACGTAGAGGAAGGCTTCCATTCAGACTGCCCCAGTAAGTACACCCTTGTCTCCAGCATCTTCCGAACACAAATACAAGGCACCCTGCTGTGACTTTGCTTCTGGGACCGCTGCCCCTGAACTCTGTTGGATGAGTCTTTCTGAAGGTTCTGGCGAATTCTCCCTCCATCTTGGACTCGAGTGCTGCTGGGAGACTTCCCAGAGTGAGGGACACGGAGAAGGGAGTCCCAGAGCAGACCTTGAGAGGGGATCCTCTTGAAGGCCTACTTCCTGGACACACCTGTTGGAAAGCACTTCCTTCTCTTTGGAATTCCGCCACTTCATTCTTCTGTTCTGAAACCAAATTTTCACCTATTGACAAAATAATTGGACAAAATGATCACTTACTCCATGTTACTTCACTTCAGCATTGTGAACTGTAATGCCTTCTACGAAATACCTTATTGTGAGAGCCAGCCTAGCAAAGTCCTTATGGCTTTCCACTGGGCTCCTTCAAAAATATCTGAACAACTGCTTTAGTATAATATCCCCACACTGATGAAACAAAATGACTGCGATAAGCGGGTTACAGCCTGCAAGTCTGACATCTTTCAAAACTGATTTAACACTCAACAGTTTAAAACATCACTTAGTCCATGCTAAATTATTCACACAAAGGAAAGGCTATCAGCTAGTAATAGTGTTTACTTTGTGCGAGGTGTCAGGCCATGCAGGCTGTTGGATTACATAATTTGATCCTCACGATGACTGCAACAAGTCCTCATTTCACATGTATGAAAATTGAGGTTCAGAGTGAAAAACCAGTTCAAGGTCACTCAGCTAGTAAAATGGAAGCACTTAGAACAGAACCCATGACTGTCCCACTCCAGGGCCCAGGCTCTTGTAACATTCAGATTTCATTAGGAACTTCTGGAAAACTAAATTAGGAATGCATTTTATAATGCTTTGATAAATTCCAGGCTTCAGTTTCCAAGTTTAATTACTCCTAGGATTTACCAAACTTGAATAATTAGGCTCAATAACAATCAATCATTATTAACCCCAAAGTGCTTATGACGGTGGTTTCTAATTTGAGCCATACTTCTGCCCCACCCCACCAGAGTCTGTCTTTACTATTAACTCCCCCCTTTATCTACTGCATAGTCAACCGTGCCTGATCAGAAAACTTCACAACTGGTTTCCTGATATTTTAAAAGTCAATCACATTGTTTTCCTGAGCATTATACTGCATCTTTGCTTGAACAATTTAGTGGGTTTCTATTTTTAAAACAAAAAACTAGGAAGTTTTTACCTTAAAAAATAATTATTAAAGTGTTACCAACCAATGTTTCTCCCAATGAAGGAAAAATTTCTATCTGAGATGATCTTTCCAGAATGGCAAAACAATTCCTTCATTCTTTCAACCTGACTGGCAATTTCAAAATGGCTGCAAAGAACCTGACCCCAGGCAAGTGAATCCAAAAGACTGCCATCTCAGTTATAATTCTGTGGTTAAGGCTTTTCATAAGAAAACAGCACTAATGTGTACACACCAGAGCATTTGGTTCTAGTCATGAACTCATTTATTATTTGCAGTGGGCATTTACTCCTAGAAAGCCTGCCAAGTATTTCTAGTGGGTTTTCACTAAGACATTTTATTTGTGCCCATTGGTGATTCTTGCCCTTCTCATCACATTCATTATTTTCTTCTTTCCTTAGTTTTTCTGTAGACCTTGAATTTTTTGAGTGATATCTCAATGAAAAAAAATCATGAAGAAAGTTTCTTCACAATCAACAGTATTGAAACAAATGTACATATTTGGGGAAAACCGTAAATTAAAAGTTCTACCTCTCAACAATTACAAAACAAATTCCAAATGGAAACAGCTAAACACAAAAACAAAACTATAAAAGTTCTAGAAAAAAACTATGAGAGATTGTCATTACAGTCTTAGAGAGATTTTTTTTTAAGCATTGACATAAAACACTAAAACCACAAAAGAAAAAACAGAGCTGCCAACATAAAAATGAGAAATTTCTGTGTAAAGACACCACAAACATATGAAAAAGCCACAAACTACCTAAAAGAATTAAAAGCAGAGACTTGAAGAGATATTTGTATATCCATGTTCATAGCATTATTCACAAAAGGTAGAAGCAACCAAAGTGCCCATTGATGGGTGAATGCATAAACAAATATGGTATATACATACAATGGACTATTATTCAGCATTAAAAAGGAAGGAAATTCTGACATATGATACAATATGGATGAACCTTGAAGATACTATGCTAAGTGAAATAAACCAATCACAGAAGGCCAATACAAGTGATTCCACTCATTTGAGGTACCTAGAACAGTCAAATCATAGAGACAGAAGGTGGTGGTTGCCAAGGGCTGGGGCGAGTGGGGAATGGGGAGTCACTGTTTAATGGATACAGAGTTTCAGTTTTACAAGATAAAAAAGTTCTGGAGATGGATGGTAGCCATGGTTGCTCAACAATGTGAATGTACTTACCGCCTCTAAATTGTACCCTTAAAAAAGGTTTAAATGGTAAATTTTATGTCACATCTATTTTACTATAGTAAAAAAAAAAAAACTCAAACCTGAAGAGTTTGCAATGGTTGTAACAGGAAAATGTTACTAAACATAATATTCCAAATATTTTGATGACAGCTGAAATAATTGCTACAAATAATATGAATAACAGCCAAAAACTGAGAGCAATCCAAACACCCACCATTAGAATGGATAAACCGTTGTATACAGTGTAATGAATACTACAGGGCAATGAGCTCAAAAGAGTGACTGCTGCATGCAACCTCATGAATGAATTTCACAAACATAATGTTAAGGAAAAGAAGTCATATATACCAAAGAATTTGTACTTTATGATTCTATTTATATAAACTACAAAAATAGGCAAAACTAATCTATGCTGTTAGAAGTCAGGATAGTGGGTAGTCTTGGAAGGAGGAGGCGGTAACCAGGAAGGAATATGCAGGGGGCTACTGGCCTAGTGATAAGGTTCTTCTGCTTGATCTGTGTGTTGGTTATACAGGTGATTTGTACTCTCCTTTAAAAAGTCAAGATATATGTAGAATATGATCCTGTTTTTATTTAAAAACGTATATACACAATTCTGGGTCTCAATTCTAGGTCCTTATTTATAAAATAGGAATAATCAAAGTAGCTAGCTACCTCATAGCGTCATTGTGAGGATAAATGACATCAAATGCAAGGACACACGGTAGGCATCGTGCAAGTGCTCGTGTTACTCTGTGTTTGTGCATATACAACACACATATACATTTACATTAAAGATAATACGTGGTACATCAAATAAATTCAAACAAGAGCCACTTATAAATGACAGTAATAACTAAGGAGTTGAGTTGGAAGGGGAGGAGATGAATTTTCATTTTTAATTTTACCAATTTCCCCTTTGTTTGAATTTACCATAATAAATACCATGTGTTGTGTAATTAGATGTATATGCAAATAAGAAAATACGAAATTACTTCTGAGATGTTTACCAAATTTGATAACATAAAAAGTATTCATTCCTCAAGGCACTTGAATTTTAAAAACAATACAATCAACTATGTGAAACTATGCACCTGTGAATACGAACAGGAAGGTAACATACAAAATAGGAAAATAGTTTGTTTTCTTGGAATGGACAGATTATGGTCATCCCCTCATAAAAATGTTCTCTAATATGCGTGCTGCCTTCTCGTTCCAATAATCTATTTTTAAGAAAATGATATGTACTATCAAAGACGTTCACACTATCTCAGCACTGTCAGATCAAACCTAGCCATCTTTTCTCTTTTAACACCTACTTCAAGTTCTGACTCAACCAGGAGTCCCCTGCAACCTCCCAAACCTGCACATTTTCTCCACACCAACTCTGGAGTTTTGGTTTTTGTTTTTTTTTAATCCGTACCAGTGGGATGCAGACCAGCCCTACTGAGCTTCTGTGCGTCCTAAGTCAGGCCCAACGATTCCTCTAAGGATGAGACGCTTCCCTCACTAGATTCCCCAGGGGTATAAGAATCAGTCATGGGGATTAACATAAATCTCCAGAGAGATACATAACTTTGAGGACCACTGATCTAACTGCTTTATTTGGCAGTATATCTAACCTACCAGGTGATGTCTCCTATGTTATCATATATTATTATCTAACCGTTCGTGAGCTTCTGCTTTGTTTTCCCAGTTGCTCATATAAATGCACAGAGTGTATCTTAATCAGTGCTTAATCAACACTCCCTCTTACTGCCTACTTATTAGTACAGCGTCTTGCACACACAGACCATCAAGATATGGCTACTGATTTATCTATCATATATGCAAAATTGCTCTGCGACCTGGATAGAATTCCTATATTTGTCCCTGTTTTTTACGTGAGAAACTGAGGTTAGGGATCTGTAGTACCACACAATGAGGAAAGCACAGATGGGCTGATGTAGGCCAATTACCCTCTACCACAGTATGTACTGCTTCCTACAACTAGAAAAAGTTGGGGGGGTGGGGACAGATCACTTCCCTAGGGAAAGGAAGCAAGGTTAAGGAGAGTTTCATCCAAAAATAACTGGTTTAATAAAGTCCAAAGTTAGAAACCAGGTCATTTGTACTGAGCGAAGAACAGCAGAGCATGGTAGTTACACAGGGCCTCTGCTAGCCCTTCAATGCCTTTATGCTAACTCAAAAAAAAAAAAAAAAAAAAAAA